AAAAAAAAAGGTCAACAAGAAAATAACGATCACCAAAGTCAGGACAAGAGTTAGAGGTGAGAATGTTTGTTTATTCTCGTGGAGGACTCGTGGGGGCTTCTGGAATGCTGAAGCAAGTTTTTGATGTAGAGAGGTTCCATTTATAATAACTTCTTAAACCATACATCTATATTTTTAGTATTTTTCTATATGTAATATTCAGAAATTAATCAAAGAAAACCAAACAATGTAAAAGTCATATATTGTTGGTGAAAGTATAAGATACAAAATGATAAATTCTATAAGATCCTAATCTTGAAAATAATGCATACCACATGTGCATAGGAAATAGATCAAACTATTGACCCTGTTATCTCTGGGTGGTAGGAATTTATTCTTGCTGTTTGTAAGTTCCTATTTTCCAAATTCTTTAAAATAATCATAAATTTTTTGGATATGGGTTTAGAGAAAAGTAATTACTCAGAACACTGGAGAAACAGATCTATTTTCTAAATTTATATATGAACATTATATAAAAGGAAAGGGTACCTATTGGGACCTGTGTGTCCATCCTAGGGCTTTCTATCATTTTCTGAAATAGAAATTTTTAAGGACCAAATCACTTGAATTACTTGTTGACTCCATGTTAAGCAAGATTATCTGGAGAAGAAAAGCAAAAAAGGAAACCCCAGTGCACCTTGTATTTGGCTTGGTCAACAGCCATTCCTCTTTCTTCCTATGGGCACCTCTCAAAGAAGAGCAGATCTGAAGAAGAAAAAAATGAATGAGACGCCAGGCCTTTCTTGTGATCCAGACCGACCAGATCGGAGATTACTCTGGAGCTACATCTTCCACCCAAGAGGAAGAGGGATGGAGGGAGGTCAGAGAAGTCTAGGCTACCCTGAGCATTCCTCGTGTCAGAAGGGTGAAGTCTCTTCTGTCTGATACCACAATCTGTTCCTGACCTCACAGGAGTCTTTTGGGACAGAAGGCTAGAGTAACAAGGGCGATAACAGGCAACCCACACTCACAAGCCTAATGCTGCAGTAACTCACCCACCATGTGGACCCACATACACTCTACCCAAGCAATTATTAACACATATCACACAGTCATAGCTCTTTATCCACCCTGAAGATACAGAGTCAAATGCAAACGTTTACAGATTCCTCAAACACAGCACCACACCAAATCATACAGTGCTACACATAGTCCCAATACCATACTCGCCACAGAGACGCAGTTACAGTTCCCCCCAGCCCTCCTGCTGCGAACTACACCCCCATACAACCACCACTAGGACAAACACACCGTTACTCTGGCACAATTAGTCACTTTCCAGCCGCGCACACACTGCCACAAAAAGTTAGTCACTACAACCTTAAATAGCACACTTAATACTTGCTCACATTCATACAAACACAATCACACACAGAGGCAGCACAGATTCTCGATACTCCCCCCTCCCCAGTACACAAAGTGTCACACAAAGTTATACAGAATCACAGCTGCACTACTACGGGGACACCGTCACTTCTACACACACTGCCTCACGTTATTGCAATCACACAACTACAACGAAGACATACAATCAAACCAGCACACACAGCGCCACAGAGTCACATAAGGTCACAATTACACGCAAAACCCCACACTTCGCTCCCCCCGCCCGCAGCCAATTCACACAAGCCCGACACTCCGGACCTTCCGGGAAGACCCCTTCTGACCTCCAGATACACACCCGAGGCGTCTAGTCGAGCCCCCAAGACCTAGGCCGCTCACCGCGCACTTTCCCTTCCCCAGAGGCCAAGGGTCCCGCAGGCAAATGAAGGGGCTGCCCTGTTCTCGCGGGGCACTCTGGGAAATGCAGTCCGGGAAAGGACTGCACCGAAAAGATGGCGCCCGGCCCGCGGAGTTTCTGCCAGCGCACTGCTGGGGCCAGCCTGACACCCCGGAGCTCCACTCCGAACCGCTGCCCTGAGTCTCCGAAACTCAGCCGCAGGCTCGGAGTGAAGCTCCTACATGATGCTGGCCCTTCACCCTGTAGAAAGTCTTCCTCCATGATACCGGCCAACCCCAGGGAGCTGAGGTCGCCAAGTTCTAGGCGTAAATTATCCGGAACCTCAAGGATTTCTGGGAAATGTAGTCTAGAGCCGGGAAGCGCGAGGCGCGTGGACAGTGGAAAAAGGTTCAAGTAGCGCGCCCACGTTCTGATCACCTAACCACGCTGGGAATGTTCTAGGCCGACTGACTAAATTGCCATTTTTGCCTTGCCTGTCGATGAGCTACATACTATATGATTCCATTTGTTTGTTTTTAAGACAAAGTCTCACTCTGTTGACCAGGCCAGACTGCCCTGGTGTCCCAGCTCACAGCAATCCAAACTCCTGGTCTAAGGGAACCCTCCTGCTTCAGCCTCCCCAGTAGTTGGGACTACAGGCGCTAGCCACAGGGCAGTTTTTCTATTTTTAGTAGAGACTGGGGGGGGGGGTTGTCTGGCGCTTGTTCAGGGTGGTCTTGAACTCCCGAGCTCAATCAATCTGCCCACCTCGGCATCCCAGAGTGCTAGGATTGCAGGCATGAGCCACTGTGCCTGGCCTGTATGATTCTATTTTTATGAAATATTTAGAATAGGCAAATCTACAGACATGACATAAATTAGGGTTGTTTAGGACTGGCAGGATTGAGGTAGTCACGAGTGGTTACTGATAGAATCAAGTGTACCTGCCCAAATAAACTTGCTTTGCCCAGGCAGGGTCAGGTACATGGCCCACCCAGGAAGGGTCAGGCTCATGTCCCTCCCAGGAAATAGGAATGCCACCAATCCTGGCTGCCATAACCCTTTAAATCCCTGTGCACTATCCGAAGGTGTGAATTTCTCCCTAGTCAGGAATCTCACTCCACCTGCACTCCAGGTGAAATAAAAGCCACTTTACTTGCATGAATTGGATCTCCAATTTCCTTTTGTCTGGTGTCTCTGAATGATTTTATCCTTGGGTCCAGAGCCTTTTAGTTACTAATAGGTATGGGATTTCTTTTTGGGTTGATGAAAATGCTCTTGACTTAGATAATGGTGATGTTTGCATAAATACCAAAGAGTAACTGATCACATAAACAAATTAAAAAGCAAAGACCATATGATTCTCTCAATTGATGTAGAAAAAGCTTTTGATAATATCCAACATCCTTTCATGATCAGAACACTTAATAAAATTGGCATAGAAGGGCCATTTCTCAAATTGATAGAGAACATCTATAGCAAACCCACAGCCAGTATCATACTGAGTGGAGTTAAATTGAAATCATTTCCACTCAGATCAGGAACCAGGCAAGGATGCCCATTGTCGCCACTGCTCTTTAACATCGTAATGGAAGTGTTAGCCATCGCAATTAGGGAAGAAAAGGCAATCAAGGGTATCCATATAGGATCAAAAGAGATTAAACTTTCACTCTTCACAGATGACATGATTGTATACCTAGAAAATACCAGGGATTCTACTACAAAACACTTAGAAGTGATCAAGGAATATAGCAGCATCTCAGGTTACAAAATCAACACTCATAAATCGGTAGCCTTTATATATACAGACAACAGTCAAGCTGAAAAAATAGTCAAGAACTGTATCCCGTTTGCAGTAGTGCCAAAGAAGATGAAATATCTGAGAGTTTACCTAACAAAGGACGTGAAAGATCTTTATAAAGAGAACTATGAAACTCTAAGAGAAGAAACAGCTGAAAATGTTAACAAATGGAAAAACATATTATGCTCATGGATGAGAAGAATTAACATTGTTAAAATGTCCATTCTACCCAAAGCAATATATAATTTTAATGCAATTCCTATTAAAGTTTCATTGTCATACTTTAAAGATCTTGCAAAAATAATACTTCGTTTTATATGGAATCAGAAAAAACCTCGAATAGCCAATACATGACTCAGAAATAAAAACAAAGCAGGAGGAATCACGCTACCAGACATCAGACTATACTATAAATCCATAGTGATCAAAACAGCATGGTATTGGCACAAAAACAGAGAGGTAGATGTATGGAACAGAAAAGAGAACCAAGAGATGAACCCAGCTACTTACCGTTATATGATCTTTGACAAGCCAATTAAAAACATTGAGTGGGTAAAAGATTTCCTATTTACCAAATGGTGTTGGGCTGGGCTAACTGGCTGGCGACCTTCAGGAGACTGAAACTGGATCCACACCTTTCACCACCAGTGAGATAGACTCTCACTGGATTAAAGATTTAAACTCAAGACATGAAACTATAAAAATACTAGAAGAAAATGTAGGGCAAACACTTGAAGAAATGGACCTGGGTGAAAATTTTATGAAGAGGACCTCCCAGGCAATTGAAGCAACATCAAAAATACACTACTGGGACCTCATCAAATTAAAAAGCTTCTGCATAGCAAAAAGCACAGTAAGTAAAGCAAGCAGACAGCCCTCAGAATAGGAGAAGATATTTTCTGGTTATGTCTCCGACAAAGGTTTAATAACCAGAATCCACAGATAACTCAAATGTATTAGCAAGAAGAGAACAAGTGATCCCCTCTCAGGGTGGGCAAGGGACTTGAAGAGACAGGCGCATGACCTACAAACATAAGAAAAAATGCTCACCATCCTTAATCATCAGAGAAATGCAAATCAAAACTACTTTGAGATATCATCTAGCACCAGTAAGATTAGCCCATATCACAAAATCACAAAATCACAGATGCTGGTATGATTGTGGAGAAAAAGGAACACTCTACACTGCTGGTGGGATTGCAAACTAATACATTCCTTTTAGAAAGACATCTGGAAAACACTTAAAGAACTAAAAATAGACCTGCCATTTGATCCTATAATTCCTTTATTAGGTATATATCCAGAAGACCAAAAATCACACTACAATAGGCTCGGCACCCGTAGCTCAACCGGCTAAGGCGCCAACCACATACACCTAAGGTGGCGGGTTCAAATCCAGCCCGGACCCACCAAACAACAATGACGGCTGCAACCCAAAAATAGCCGGGTGTTCTGGCGGGCGCCTGTGGTCCCAGCTACTTGGGAGGCGAAGGCAGGAGACTCACTTGAGCCCAGGAGTTGGAGGTTGCTGTGAGCTGTAATGCCACAGCACTCTACCCAGGGGGACAGCTTGAGGCTCT